CAACTGTCCCTGTCTGGCCGTTTTTTTCCAACTCCTACGTGTGTTTATCATATTTTCCAAGAGTGTGTCTGTGCTAGGGGTTCCTTGGTGCTGTCCTAAGGGCTGGRGAGCCTCAGTCCTTCCGTGGAGGAGGACATCTGCCTCCTGGGCTGCAGGGAACACACAACCCCAGGAAAATCCCTTTGAGCCCTGTCTGGTTGCCGGGCTCTGCCGTCGCTGCCGCTGGGTCCCTCACCCCAAGAACAGAGCTGCTTGTTCTCTCTGTGGAGTAGGAACAGTTGGGGGTTTGTTCAGCGTTATTTACTCAGCCCAAAAGAGAGAGAGGAAAAAAAAAAGGGAATTATTTCAAATGGAAAGTGCCCATAGCAGCCAGGTAAACAAGAAACCCATGTGAAATAAAGCCAGACAGAGACAGGGTGTGTTTGTCTGCTCCYGCTCTTTGCAGTACGCTCCAGACAGGGATTTGTGCCTCAAACCTTCAGTAAGACTTGGGGAAAAACAAACAAACAAACAAACAAAAAGCAGCTCTGGGAGTGGGTTCTCTTCCAAACTCTGAAATTAGACTTCTTCCAGCCCAGGCTGAGCCTTCCCTCACTCTCGATACACATAAAGACATATCGCAGCCAGCAGCTTTAAAATTCCATCCTTCTGTCTGGTCTAAAGTGATGGAATTCTGTATCACTTCTAATCACAGATGTTTTGTTTATTCWGATATAACATACAGAATCCCTTGATGATTTTTGTGGTGGTTTTTCACATTTGCACATCTCTAAGTACAGCCCATGAAGTGCTTATATCCAGAGAAAACAGGATCTTAGGGAAGAACTCTGTGCCACGAGCACTGAGGCTGATCCAGCGATCTGCTGAGTTGTGGATTTGCCATACTTCACTACTGGGAGCCACAGGATACTCTGAGATTGCCAGATAACATTTTAATTCCCCTTATAACTGCAAAGCAGAGTCTGCTAGAAAATGGGAATCCYTCCCATTGGAATTTTCACAGGGAATACCCCCATTTGACAACTTTCACTCAGGAAATAATGATTTTCCCCCTGGGATGCATAAAAAATCAAATATACAGAAAAGCTGCTTCTTTATGGCTTTCCAAAAGTGTCTTTTCAAAATAAAATAATGATAGAAGAAGGGACTTCCCCTTTTACATTCACGTCACAGCCAGAAGGGAAATCAGTTTATCAGGTGTTTTCTCACTTGACTCACTTCTAAAAGGAGAAGTCTTCCTTTCTCTTCACACCTATAAAAAAACTCGGGGCAGGGGGGAGGTCCAGCACAGCAAACCACCCCAAAACCTCAGTATTTCCTCACAAAAAAAGATGAAGAGAATAGGCTCTGTCCAAAAATCCCCAGTCCTGTGACACGTTGTTTTTTCATCGTCTTGTGGTTACAAAGAAGCCCCTATTTCCTCCAGAACCCCCCTCAGTAATCAGTTCTGAGGCACTGGTTGTGCCTGCCTATATCAACCAATATTCTATGAGATTTGCACATGGATTTTAATCTTTGGGATGTGCTTCTTCAGGTCAGCATTGAGGGGCTGACCTGTTTKTGGGTCCTGCATGAAGGTGCAATAAATAATCCAAGTGGGGGCAGTCACAGATGGCAGAGCTCTGTCACTAGGGCCAACTTTGCCCTCCTCAATGCCACAGCAGCATTTCTGCTCTCTGCATTTCCTGCTCTCAATTTAGGTGTCAAATTTTTTCTCCTCTTCATAGCACACACAGATCGAAGTGCCAAAATTGCAGGAAATKAACAGAAGCACCAAGAGGTGAGAGGAAAAATTTTACAAAGGCCACAAACCTTTGCTTCCTTTCTACCTTGTGGTTTTTTTTTCCTTCTGCTACACAAAAAGCTGCAGCTGGACAGTCTTCTCATCATTTTCCACTCATCAAAACAAGCTCTCTACCCTGATCTGACTCACACGCTTCTTTTTGCCGTGTTRAGCTTTGTGGTGAATTTTTTATGTCAGTTTGTAGCTCTCAAACCTGTTCCATTTTGTGGCTATAAACTGTCTTTATTTTGTTTCCCTGCTGTGCCATAGATGCCAAGTTGGAGGCCGTGCCAAGGCTTTGTATTTTACAATGGAAGTGCTGATGAATAGAAGCTGATTAAGGCTTTCCCTCCTGCTTTTGGGGAAAGAATGGGTTTTAGTGAAGCTGAAGTGCTTCTCACACTGGATATTATTGCAAGGCAAGGTGTGACTTTAACACCAAAAACGTCTGGATTTGCACTGCTGACCTTGACAGCTCTCAGGGCTCGATGGCTTTAGGTAAAGCTGGGACTCCAAGGGCTGTGTGCCAGACATTGCCACCCTTTGCTTTTTCTTTCCTTTTTAGAGAGTCTCACTTAAGAGTTTGGGTCTGCTCTTATTAAGAATTTAGATGATCATGCCTACATTGCTATGTACAGCCCAGTAGGAAAAGAAATATCAGAGCCCTGTCTAACATACTTACACCATCCAGCATATTTCTATATCTAGTGCTTTGATATCCTTCCTGGAAGCCATCTTCCTCTGAGCATCCCTGCATGTGGGTGCTGGGAAACYTCTCAGTGCAAGCTGAGAATTAACTTGGCCCCTGTGAATTTTTTTTCAAGCTACTCTTCATGTGTCTCATGGAATATTCTGAGTTGGAAGGTTCCACAAGGATCATCGAGGCCAAGTCSTGGCCTCAGGACAACCCCAAAATCACAAGTTTTGTTCCTGTGTGAAAGATTACATGTSTGTATATATATAGCAGAAAAGTAAAAATATCTTTATTTTTGTGGAAATTTTAAGTGCCAACATTATTTTCCATCTAGAAATAGCTGGGTATCAGCAAGTGGTAGTCCCAGGCTGAGAAAGGACAAAGTGGGATGAACTCTCCTGAGCAGAAGATGGAAGAAGGTGGAATTAAACTCCTGGCTGGTTCAGCTGTGGGGCTCGGCTTTGTTTAGTGAGTGGTGTGAGCTCTTCCTGTAACACGCCTTAAAAGGGAAGTTCTGATTGAGGTAGTGGTTTAGCTCTGAGTCATGCRAGTGAAATGCTCAGGCTGTTTCTCTGACAAATGCAAATCCAAATYCCTGAAAGTGGTCTCACTCCCGAGGCTCAATGAGTTTTGTCTTTCCTAGCTGCAARTAACAAAAAKAAATGGGAACACTCCTTTCCTGTCTTCTTACTCAAATTTATCTTTGCTAAGTGGCCTGATAAGTAATTACAGGGACGGGAGCAGGGAGTGACACATAGAAAAYGTCCAGGAAACATCTTTGTAATTACACTGCTTTGTTACCATGGAGATCCCAGGAAATGGCAGCGTTGGTGTTTGGCTGTGGAGCACCARGTTCTGCACCTGAGTGAGGGGTTTTTTGTCTTTTCCAATTCATCTTCCACGAGGGCTGGCTGACCTTTCTCTCCTGAGCCATAAATATCTTTGTAATAATACACAATCAGTAAAAACCAGTGCTGTGAATATGTGCACAAGTATCAGCCTGAAGAATGCTCACTCATAGTAAGTCACAGGTGGCTGAGTATTAAAAATTTAAAAAAACATGGAAAAAGAACTGCCAGCACAGTCAGCAAACAGCATCCCAGCAGCACCACAGATACTACAATTAGCAGGGCAAAGCCATATTACCTATCATTGTTTTAGTGCTATTTAGCAGAATGTATTTCTCAGCAAGAACTGGGGTGGGAGGGGAGAAGGATCACAATAATTGGGATAAATACAGAGACTGGAGAATAATGTGGCAGTGAAGGGGCAGCAGGCAGGAGTTTGCCTTCCCCAAGGAGGCTGCAGCAGTGAGGCAGAGTGGCTGGATGGATGCTCTGCCCTCAAACATTGACTGGTTTTACATTTCCTAGCAATTGCAAACTGCCATCTTTMGGGTTTTCTAGTCTAGGTTACACAAGGCCTGCTCACAGCAAATTCCAGCAGCTCTGCTTACCCTGGGCCAGATTTTATAATAATGTTTACACTGGTAACTGAGCACACTGAAGGTTCTCATTGGAAGCTTGGGTAGTCCAGGCTGGGAGCAAGGCTCACTGTGCCCTCTAGTGCGCTCTGCCTGCAGCTCCACTGTCCCCTCACCACGGAGGACACAAGAAGGAAAATGAAGCTCTTTTCCCCAGCAGTGGCTTGGCTTGGCAGATTTCAGAGTGCCCTGCACAGGACAAGGACCAGAATCACACCAACATGGTACCAGCGGCCAGGCACAGCCCCAGTGGCTGTGGTCTGGTGGGAGCTGACCCCCACARGATCCCATGGTTGCCTAAGTACAGGTCGAAAAATGTACATTCACAAGTGAGGAAAGAAAACTCTGTGCTCTCATTTCCATTTGTCAAAGATAAAGCCCACACAAACAAATAAAAACAACCCCCCAAAAACCTGTTGAATATGAGTATTTCTAGCAGTTTTATAGATGTCAGTTTATAGCTGGGGTCCTAAATCTGTATGAGGCTACACTGCCATCTCTCATGACACTTYAAGTTCCACCCCTGCAGAGCAGTACAGCACATTTCCAGCCCCAGTTTCCCAGAAATACACCCTCAGGCAATGCTGGGCCTTTTTTGCCTTACATTTCTCARTGCAGAGGTGTAAGGAGGCTCTGGATGGTATGGGGTTTGTTCTTCCTGCACTGAACTGTCCCTGGGACAAGAAACTTGGAAGGTGGAAGTCACAGATTCTTATAACAGAGTGTTCATAGTTGGAAGGGACCCACAAGGATCAGCATCCTTAAGTGAATGGCCCATCCAGGAATCAAACCTGTCAAGTTGGTGCTTTTAGCACCATACTCTAACCAGCTGAGCTAATCTCAAATTGTCTTACTTAATTCTCCAAGAATTCTGAAGAAAGCATTACTCTCCTCCTATGGTCAGAGAACCTTTTCCATGTGAAACCTCTTCAGCTTTGTGAGAGCCAGAGACCTTGTTGTCTATAAAGGGTGGAGTTGATGAATTTGGGTTTGGGGAGAGAAGCCTTCTCAGATTGTTGCCTGGCTCTGGTTCTCCACAGGACTCTATGTACTGGTGGGAGCAGGGGCCATCATGTCAGCAGTCGGATTTTTTGGGTGCTGTGGAGCGGCGCGGGAGTCCCAGTGCTTAATTGGAGCAGTGAGTAAAGGGTTTCTGGGGCCTGGGCTGTGCAGGAAAATCACCCAAAGAATTCAGTGCTTGGTGTCAGTAATGGAAAGATCTTTACACTTCAACACCTGAAAGCTTTTGTGTCCTTTTATTGGCTAATCCAGCTTCTGAACTCAGAAGCCACTGCWCTRCTGCAGAGCTGCCATGCAAAACRAGGTTTTGTGTCTTGTGCTGTATTYYCTGGAATTACCCTCTGAYTTTCCTGAAGCTYCACCTGAGCCACATTTCCCATTTCCCTTTTGTTTGCAGATGACAAGAAATCTGCATTGGCAGCCTTATGCAGAGCCTCCTTTAGATCAGGGTGGGGTGTTGAGGCCTGGGGAGGGTGAGGGGCTGGCTGGCAGCCCCTGTGAACAAGGTACCTTCATGTGAGATTCTCTCCTTCCTCCRCAGTTCTTTGCCTGCCTGTTGGTGATATTTGCAGCTGAGGTCACTGCTGGAGTATTTGCCTTCATAGGCAAGGATGTGGTAAGTAGCAAAGAGCCTTAATGTAATGATGGAGTAGTTATGGATTCCAGTGGCCCACTGACCTGGCTCTTCCAAAGAAAAGTTTTCCAGGATGCTTTTTCCAAGAAGACTCTCTGACATTCTTATCTGGAGCCAATGAGAACTTGTGATATCACAAGTCCAGAATTAAAGAAAATTCTTGTTAAAGAAAATCTGTAGGTGTGGTTCAACCTTCCACCCAAAAGGAACTTCAAGGGGAACTGTGTGAAAAGAGGGTATTACCTGGGGAAAAAAGCAAACTAATTCAGGCACTGAACTTCTCCAATTTAGAGTGTTTAAACAAAGCACAGAACACAGCCTATGAACACTGTGATTCTCTGATTGCCACCAGGCCACAAACCCTTTTGTCTTTCCAGTTACAATACCTGTTTACCAAGCACAATTTTCTGCTCAAGAGGTGATGACACAAGGTGCAATTCGTGGATTGGGGGTAAGAGTGATTTGCAACTCACTTGGAAAGTTTGCTTTCTGCAGGCAATACGGGAAGCCCAGAAAATCTATGATGATGCTTATGAGGACTACATGAAAAACCCAGTGGGGAAGGTCAACAGTACCATCTATCGCTATCACGTGGCTGTGAGTACTCCTCAACCCTAACACCTCACTCTATTGCTCCACTGTCACATTGCCCAGTGGAATCCAGAAATCTTCCCTCTGAGGTATGGAAAAATAAAACTGAAAGTACTTAAAATTAAATCAGGGGCTCACAACCCTGCAATTTTCCTGAGAGCTCTGTCAGAACTCTGCTTTTTGGAATTCTAYACTTGAAAGCACAATTAGTCAGGCTTTAAAATTTCTGATGCTTCTGGTCTTTATGTGCAGAAGAAATTACTATTATGGCCGTTCTGGATATTGAAATCCACAGATAAATACTCAAAAATGCAGAGAGAGGGAGAAACGTCTGCATCCCTCTGCATGTGTCASAGACCTGTGTCCCAGGACCTACAGWGTGGCAGATGCTGTCATTGGCTGAACCAAGTATGTGAAAGACCAAAAGCATGTGTGTGACACAGTTCAGGCCACCCAAAAAGTGTCTGAGTCAGAATTACAACCTGTGACTTCTTGAATCCTGTTTGTGTCTATCCTGTATCTACACTGCCTCCCATGGAGATCAAGCCCAAGCTTTGTTGCTCCTTACAGCAATTCCCACGTTCTTTAGAACAAACATTTCACAACCTCAGACCCTTTTGTCCTTCTCCCATAGCTGTTATTTCTGACCCAAAGAGGAATTCCAAGCATTTTGTGGGAGATAGGCAAACAGGAAAAACAAACCCTCTGAAAGTCTGATTTATTACTGTCTCCAAACCCAGCACGATGTTGTGTCAGAAATTAAATTCCAGCATTCTCTGCTGTAGCTTTTGTGCATTGCCCATAATTCTGTATKTGATACTTGAACTTTCTGCATTCTCCCTTTAACAACTCCTGTTTCCTTGTAAGCCAGGGATCTGCTTTCCCCAATTCCACTTGTTTGCTTTGTTATGAAATACTGTAATAAAAAGCCCTTCTGGATATTGTTGTTGATTATAAATGTGCCTGTTTGCTGTGGCCTCAGACAATTGAAACTCATTTTTGAGAATTTTGTCCCACGCAGTTGGAACTGTACCAGAAKCAGCAGTTTAAATATAGAGAATAAKGTTATTACTTGATCTGTACAGATTCATTATTTTAGTTATTTATTGTCTCACTTTCACTATGAAGTAATAACTGACTTTCAGTATTAAAGTCTGTGGTTTTCCCCTTTTTGATCCTTTTCTCTCTCATTCAGCTCCAGTGCTGTGGTAAAGGTAATGTGGAACAACAAACAGGATTACCCTGTCCAGAGAACATCCAGCTGCCAAAGGCAAGTGTCCTCTGAGCTGCTTTTTCTAATCACTTTTTCAGGTCAATTCTTCAGTAAAATTGGAGACGTTCTGTAAGTAAAAGAGAGAAATTCCTTTTTACCTTGCAAATTCCATCATGAAATTCTTTATCGAATGGAGCAGAGGCAGAATTAAGCTGGAGATCATATTGCCCTCAATTGTGATGCCTGGTTGTGGCATTCCATGGTAGCTGAGACAMCATTACATCATCTGAAAGGAAAAGGGAGAAGGAGGTAACAAAACAGGACCCCAAATTTCCCATGGAGGCTGAATTTTGGCAACTGCCCCCCTTAGTCATACATGAAGCCTCCTGACAAGAAACTTCGTTGGTGTTAAGAAAGATATTTCTGTAATTTCTGTCTTTTCTGGAATCTGCTTGTGAGTACAAAGTCAAAATAAAGCACCAAACCTCCTGATTTAGCATGGCCTGTTATATAAAGGCATTTAAATTTAGGGAAAACTGAGAGTARGAGAATTACTTGGATGTGTTAGCTGCTCCAGGCAAGAGCTGCAGATGCCTCACTAGAAAAGGGAAGGTGCTATGAAAATTATCCAACAAAACACAAGGTTTATATGCAAGAATTAGGACAGTGACTGCACTAAAATTTTATTTTGTTTATCTGTTGTTCAGTATCTGTGTTTATCTGTTGTTCAGTAGAAACAGCTGATAGAGTTGATTGAAATATAGATATTGAGGAGTAAAAAGGTATTTTAATTTTGTTTATAACAGAACTGCCTGGATGAAATTCGGAATGTAATTGATACTAATCTGCACTTAGTTGGAATTGTTGGAATTGCAATTGCTGGCATCACAGTGAGTAAATCMATGTTCTCAAATCTCTACTTGAGCCCAGTACCCTGTCCCTTACTCAAAGCTTTGTGGAAGGTATTTTGGAGCAACTGGTGAGATTCCTCAACTCTTAYCACTTTCAGTGTGTCCTCTCTCTGGAAATTGCCCCCATCAGTGCAAGCAGAGCTGTGTGACAAGTTTATTTTGTGTCCTTAGGTTCCAMAGTAATGATAATCTTATTTTGTTCTAACAGTAGGAAAGCAGAGTGCACATGAACCTGAAAAGCAAAAGGCTGTAGCAGCATTTAATGTATTCCAACACAGCTGCAGACTGATGCTTTRAACCCTTTAGGATACAATTCTTAGTTTTCAGGAAGAACAGAGAGGAATAGAGCTGTGACCAATAGATGTCACCCTGTCCCAAGGACACGGCAGGATGGGCAGACTGCAGTTCACCAGGCTTTTGCACAAAGCATTTTCCAGCATATCTGAGCCATGACTTCCTTCAGTCAGACACCAGCAGCTCAAAGAGCCACAAAATTAAACAAACACTCCTTTGGCTGCTGAGAAGGATTTTCACAGATTGATATGGACACTGAAAAGCAGCTGAAGGTTTCTGTAGGTAACAGAAAACATGGTGTGAGGATTAAACAATTCTGGGATTTGTATGGAACTTGAAGGGACTCGAAAATACAGCAAAGCWACAGGGGTGGGACAGTGTTCAATAACATCAAGGACACAGAACCAGGATCATCTCCCTTGGATCCCCACCTCAGGCACAGTGAAGGTCCTGAAGTGACCATATCCTCTTCAGCAGCAACAATGGACCTGCACAATTTTCTGTGCTTGTTTCTGCTGCTTGCTGGGCTGTGAGAGCTCAGCTGTGTCTGTGCTCAGGGAGCTGTGCAGGGAGGGGACATGAACTCAGGGCTTTAACTGCCCATATCCCACCCTGAGCAGTGCAGCCTCAGCAGGAGCTGCTTTGGAGAATCAACCTGTGGCAAGAAAGGAATTTCTGGAGACTCTGGCAGCACCCACTCTTCTCTGCTTTTATTATCCCCTCCAATTCACAAGTTCTCTGACATGAGTGGGGTTTTATATTTAATGTATAGTCTTGCTCTTGAGCACAGGAACTATTAAGAGCTCAAAACCARCTCCAGGGGCTCTGGAATCACCCTCTGCTCTTACTCAAATGTCTGTAACATTCCACGTAGAAGCATTCTGAAACTCAGAACCTTCTGGTGTAATATTAGGGATGGCACCAATAGTCTCAGCTATTATGTCACCTTAATTTGTGKTAATAACATTAATATTTGGGGCAGTTGTGCTTGCCTGGACATTTAGAACAAAGAACAGAGAAACCATCATGAGCAGAYAAAATCTTGGCTATGAGGATCAGTGAAATCTCTTTCATGTTTATTGTCTGATTCTTTGGGGTGGGTAGATGGAAGCAGTCACTACTCTGCCATAGAAAACTTCCATTCTGATGTGCAAATTGCTTTATAACTGTTCTGCAAGCAGATCCCTAAATCACATCCCTTTTCTTCTAGATCTTTGGCATGATATTCAGCATGGTTCTGTGCTGTGCGATCCGTAACACGAGGGACATGATCTAAAACTGTCACTGCACAACTATGTCCCAGGAGTTCCAGACTAAGCTTACAAGAAGTGCTCTTCTACCCGATTTAATAATTGTAATGCATTTTAATCAGTGTTTTAACATACTGAGAGGAAAATATCCCATTAGGTGATCAGGTGAATTGTATTAGTTACAGTAAAACTGAAGTGAACAAAAAAAGGGGTTTAAAATGTCCTTTTTAATGGAAAAAAGCAAAGGTGCATCTAAGACTAATTTGATTTTTAATGTTTGTATATGTGCAATTAAGAGTTTACACATGTATAGACTTTGRTAAGCACATGCATCTCTCTCCTTACAAATACATATGGGTGTGAGCATGTCCCTGGATGTGCAGTACCTTGTCTRGGTAAGTATGTGCAAATGGAACATGTGTGTGCATCCAGAGTGCTTGGAACCCTCTCACACTGAGCCCGTTTGCCAAGAAKTAGCAGAGGAACAAATGCCATTGTAAAAAGTAAGACCTATGATCCATTTTGTAACTCTTCTTTCCAAAGCCCAAGCAGAGTAGAATTAATAAAATTGGACTTCATTAAAAAAATCAAACTTGCCTAAGGGCCTGCTCCAGCAAACATTAATTCATGTGAGTAGACCCACTGACTTCACTGTCATGCAGAGACTGGATATTTATTTTTTGTAGGACAGGACCCTTYGTGCAAATGCAGAAAGCTCTGGGGGAGGAAACATGTCCAAGGAGATCCAGGCTAAAGGAAGAGGGGGAAAGAGGTGGGAAGCTGGCAAGACCAGGCAGCCATTTGGGACCAACTGCAGTGCAAAGTGTGCTTAAGCTTACCAAGCTAGGCTGAGATACACCAAAAAACCCAACTGTGAGTTCAAGGGGCCACTAAAATCCCAATTCAGCAGCCCCTTTGTCCCAGAAGCCTCGCTATGGCTACAGACTGGTGCAGGAGTGGAGCCTAGATCCAAAAATGCAGCCCTTTGTCAGATCTCTGGAGAATCTAACTGGCCTGTGGAAGCCAAAGAAAGAGTGAGTGGTCAGAAAAAGACACACAGCACTTTAATATCCTCAGTTTCTGCTTCTGTGACTATCACAGCTTCCACAGGGCTCTTACCTCAACCTCTCACCCYTTCCTGGGGGCAGAAGGCAGGAAAGAAAGATGGGGCATTTTTACAGAGCTATGAACTAAGTTTTCTTACTGGCACCTTTAGATTGCATGTCAGGTATAAAAATGACACTGTGTGCTTGAAATACCTCAGGGCTTGCGTTTACATAGTTCGTTTCTATATTTTTATTTTTCTATTTGTCATATTTATGCATAAGAGAATGTTCCTTTTGAAACAGCCTAGAAGGGAGAAAGGTTGTCCCCAGAAGAGGTAAATAAATAACATTAAAGGCTCAGGATCTCTTAATTTTTGGCTTACTCAAGATAATTCACCATTTCAGACARCAGCTTTTTGCTAACTATACCCCCACAGCAGCAGCTCTGGTGATCACCAGTTCAGATTCCTGATGCAATTGTTGGGGAGAAGTTCAGTTAAACTACACATTGAAATAGTCCAATGTTTAAGAGGCCTTGGCATTTACAAGTCATGGAGTCTTTGTCCCACCAAAACTGGGATTTCAGTAAATATTTACTCCAAATATCTGCCTTAATTGGCACACCTTGTCATTTTTTACATGGATTTCTCTTTTCTARTTGTCCAACCATGAGCTGTGGCACTGCACTAAGAGCTGGGCATGAGCTGAGCCATGTCCAGGCTGAGCTTTAGGCTGGCAGGATATGAGATCACACACCAGAAAAGAGTCAGGCTCGTTGTCAYTCTGACACAGCTGATTAGCAATGGATGTCAATTAAAAGCAGGGCCTGGAACCTCACTCTGGCAAGAATCAGACCAGGAAACMGGCCCTGATCTGCTGCTTGSTCCTAAGAAAGGCTCAGCTGGCAGAATGGCATTGGCAGCAAATCCATGAGAGTCTCAAGCTGGAACTTAGAAATTCRTTTAACACAGCAGCCAGCAAAGCAATTTCCTGGCTGGAGGTGTACCTGAGATTGTCCCTACAATGGTTCTGCTCTGAAGAGATGATGGGGTAGTGCCCAGCTGGGCCRTGTTCTCCCAAGGTAGTACTGGCAGGAAAAAGAAATTGTTGTAGAGTGTCATTTTCGTCACTCAGGGCAAGCCAGTTTTCCAGGAAAATCAGTAAAAATAGCACCACAGCCAGTGGTTCASGTTCTAAGATTGTTGTCCTACAGGGATAGGAACTGATTGCAAATAAAGTGATTTTCCTCTGTTACACTCCCCCTCATAATGACAGTATTCTATTTATTTGAAACACATCTAAAGGTAATTTGRTTTCGTTCTTCAAATCTGTAGCACCAGAATGTAATTGCCAGACTTTATCTCTTTATTTATTACTTCTTGAGTAAGTTGGAAGATGCCCACTCCTGCTTTGAGATGCACTGAATGCCAAGGCAGCTTGCAGAAACTGCTGTTGCTTCCCCAGCCCTCCACTCCCCCAGAAGTACAAAACCACCCCAGTGCCTTAGGGAAACAGGGAAAAGTGGTACAAAAAACCTGCTATAAATTCACACTCGAACCACCAAACTTTCTGCTGAAGTGTTTTGGGTTTGTGATTTTTTTTTTCTTCCTCTAAACAGGGCATTTATTTTTCTGAGCATTCCTGCATAAGCTCTAGGGTTACTGTTATTTAGGTCTAGGGGATACTTGCACTGCATACCAGGAACAGAATAATACCTGTTACTGGTTTAGTTCTCTAAGTTATTAGTATAAATTAAGCTGGAAATCAACCTGTTATTCATATACTAGTGCCTTTAACAGAATCCAGGGATAAAGGTCTTTTGTAGTTTCCTGCTGCTGTGAGGTGCTTAATATAATYGCAATTTTCTCTGCATCTTAGTAACTGAAGGTATTTTTTAACTGATTGAGAGAGTTACTGCCACAAAAGGCAGCAAAAGTACCCATTTATCCTGTCCCTTGCACCTGTGTCAGAGGAAAGTRACAAAAGATCAGATCCCTCCAGGTGATAATTCTGAAAGCACATCACACACATTTTCTTGTTCTCCTGTCAAAACACTTTATCCTAAAGATGTAAGTTGTTGATGCCCTTACTGTGTCTCTAAACATCCTTATTCACATTTCCCTTGTCTAATTTTTCTAAGTAACTGATTTCAGTGGGAGCTCCCTTTGTCACAGGGAAATCTCAGCCAGTTTTGGTACCTCCCAGAGATCATACAGGAGCTGATGAAGCTCAGCCCTGTGACATCCCTGCAATGAAGAGTCGTATTTCACTTGTCTTGATACTTACAGTTTTATAACAAAATATGTTTCAWGTGTCTTGAAAAAGAAATTGAGTTGTCTTAAGCCCTCAAATGCTGTATTGTACAGTCTTTGCAGGCTACAGATTAACAGCATTGGATGCTGTTGGTAGAAAATGTACATAAATAAAGCTTTTCAATCTTTTTCATCTCTGTTGGTGCTCCAGCCACGAGGTTTTCCAAAACACAAACCACTTCCACGATAACGTGTATGGTACAACATAAAATCTGATTTWACATAGAACTGGCGTTTCAGTTCATACTGCCAAGTCTGTGGCAGAATTACCTCTTGSTTTCAGAAAAAAACGAACTTAACTCTGTGGCTGAAATTAGCTTTCACTTCCCGATGATATGTTCTGAAGTGGCGTTTTATCGGCTTTGTGTCYTGAATTTGAAACAACTTCCTAATAAAAATAACCTGGAATAAATGTCTCCCAGAGAGAACTCGATCCGCGCGGCCAGAGCCCACCCAGGCCCTGAGGGCACCCCGGGGCTGCCTCTCACCTGCGACATCCACAATACCGGGTGGGCTCTGGGTGATGGAGCAGCGCTCGGCCAGCGAGGCAGGCAAGGACCCGGGCTGGGGACCGGGACAGGACCGGGACCGGGATCGGGACCGGGATCGGGATCGGGATCGGGATCGGGATCGGGATCGGGATCGGGATCGGGACCGGGATCGGGATCGGGATCGGGATCGGGACCGGGATCGGGACCGGATCGGGACCGGGACCCGGCAAAGCCGGAATTTCCCTCAGGGAGCCGCGTGCCGGAGAGGCCCCGCCCACTAGGGGGCGGAACAGCGGGCAGTACTGGCTTCCCATTGGCTGCACGCGCTGAGGGCGGGGCGGGGCCGCTGCCCCAGAACGGTTTGGGCGGGAAGGCAAGTTAGAACTCTTCCAGGCTCCCCCTTTGCCACGGGCAGGGACASCTTCCACTGTTCCAGTTTGCTTTAAGTCACATCCAGCCTGGCCTTGGACACTGCCAGGGATCCAGGGGCAGCCACAGCTTTTCTGGGCACCCTGTGCTAGGGCCTCCCCACCCTCACACGGAACAATTTCTTCCTGATATCCAATCTAAACCTGTGTAAACCCATTCCCCCTTGTCCTGTCTTCCTTGTAGTCTCCCTTCAGCTACTGGAAGGCCACAGTTAGGTCACCGCGAAGCTTCTCTTCACCTGGACAATTCCAATTTCCCAGCCTTTCCTGACAGCAGAGCTGCTCCACCCCTCTGATAATCCTGGTGMCTCCTCTGGACTTGCTCCAGCAGCTGCTGTGCTGGGCCCCGGGCTGGAGGCAGCTCTGCAGGTGGGGTTTCATCTGAGGGGGCAGAAGGGCAGAATCCCCCCCTTAAATGTTGCCACGCTGTTCAGATGCAGCGTTTATCCGCGGGAGAGCGGCGGTGGCCCCGGTAAAGGAGGGGCCGTGCCCGGGGCCGCTCCTCAGGGCTGGGCGGTGCCGCCGCTGCCCCGCTCGGGAGCGGAGCCCCGGCCGCTGTTTCCCCCCTGAGGAACCGGGGGCAGCGCGGGCTCCTTCTGCTTCTTTCTCCTTCTCYTTTCTCCTCCTTCTTTCTCCTTCTCCTTCCTCGGGTTTCACATTGTTAATCGGTTCGGGTTCTTCTCTAAATACCGGCCGCAAAGCCGCGAAGCGCCTGGAGCAGCCTCGGCCCCAGCCCCGGGGCCCCCCAGCCCGGAGCTCCCATCCCATTCTATGACCCTCCCCCCCTACCGAAACTGAGATGCGGACAAAAGGCGAAGATGTTTGGATTGCCTGCAAATCCATCGCTCAGTTGGGTGAGAAGTATATTAGGATAAACCAAAGGTAACAAACACGTCTGTAAGGAATCATCACCTTTACAGGGATTTATCAGTTGACCTGGGTGTCTTAAAGTTGAACGTGAAAACTGCTTAAAGGTCAGAGGGAYACAATGCTCTGAGGGCATGGAAATSTACAGTTAAATAGATATGCCAGCGCAACGCAAACATCTGAATTTGGGTTTTTCTGAAGTGCGAAAGAAAACACATTAGTTATTTTTTTCTCTCAGTGATTTTGCATAGGCATTACCATAAAAGTAGACTTGGCTTTTCTTTGTACTGAAGACTTCAGAATAACTCTTTGTGCACACCAGTTTGCAAACAGAATATGAAATACACTTTTATTTCTGTTCAGGTGTGAGCAGACAATACATTTCACCCDCATTCCATTGAAAGTTTCACATGTTACACAACTTCTGTGGCTTAGTGCAATAGTTTGTCCTGACCCTCTCACGGACACAGTCACTGTAGTCAGTGTTACAYTTGCCACACTTGCAGCTCACAGCCACAGGGTAGGAGTAGTAGGGGATGGTGTGGTGAGGGCAGCCTGGGATCAGCACTGTCCGGTACAGTATCTCTTTGTACGTGCACACATTCTGGGACAGGGCACTCTTGAGGAGCAGCTTCTTGCCATTGCTGTCCTACAAAGAGAAGAGAAATATGTTGTTTCACTGAAGCTTGCAAGTGTCAGAAACTTCCTGTGAAGTGTAGAGACCAAAACTCGTGTATTAGCCTAGCTCTGATAYTACTCAGTTCAGAGCTGTAATTGTGACGGGGCTCCCTCCCCACACAGATACATTCACGTTATTTTTATGGTTTAACTGATCCACTTGGTTCAGAATGTTCCCAGCGCTTTGTGATCCCGGCTGGCTCCCTGCTGCCCAAGCTGGAACTCAAGTGCTGTGTTGAACAGCGAAGTTGTGTGCAGTGGTGTGGCTGCTGCAGAGCTGTCCCCACAGCCAGTTGGGATAGCAGCAGAAGTTCCCTAAGTTATTTACATTAATTGAGTGACCCAATATAATCTGCTCCTCACCTGTTCCATCCTGCCCTCACAAACTGCCCACAGAGGCTCTGCAGTGGCGGCAGCAGTCAGGTCTCTGCTGTGCCGCTGGTGTTATCAATTCCATAGTTCCAGAGGCTTGGCATTTTTTTATCCATACCTTTAAAAAGCTAACTTGAAAACATGATGATGGTGGTTTTTCTGTCTGTGACAAACTCTATTCGAGTTAAACCATCTACACATTATTTTCTGGGAGAACAGGCTCTTGTTTTACAGTAGTGGCTGTTACAGAAACATCTGCTCAGAGCAGAGCAGCGCCTCGTACCCGAGTCATGCAGAATCCAGCGCAGATGGTGGTGTTGATGGCCAGGCAATAGGCACATTCCCGTTTCTCCACATGGATMGTGTACTCAGAAGGAACACAAAGTGATGCTGCTTGTCCAAAAGTCAGGCCAAAGAGGAGAGACATCACAAAGAAGGGACTCATGCTGGGTGGRGAAGAACAAACAAACAGAGCAAACAACAAGTAAAATGGGCCGTGCCTTCCAGCCCTCTCCTCAGCATTCAACAGAAACAGCCAGGACAGTCACAGACTAGGAGTAATCTTAATGTTTCTAGCTGCAGTGTCACAGCTTCTTTCCAGTCTCAGACCTTTAATTGAAATAATATTGACCATTAAACAGAGAACAAGGGTAAAGAGGTCATTAACTACATAGAACAAATTCACTTTCCCCGCCATTAAAGCATATTATATGGAACTTCTCACTAATGAATGATTAAATGCTGACACAGAACAAGTAACAGAAGCTGAAAGATTTGAAAGTGTGACATGTAAGATAACATGAGCTCTAGAATTAACCAGATATTAAAATAATCTCACTGCTAAAAAATRCTATTCTAAAGAAAGCATCTTAAAAAATGTTAAAGAGAAAAAGACAAGGCTGTGCATATCAGGCATAAAACTGGATTTTTCAATTTCCAGTGGCTTAGAGGCATGATGAAATGGGAGCACTGCCAAGAATTAAATAATAGAYTCAAGCAAATTACAACAAAGAGTATCAGCAAAGAGTTCAACTCAATGAATCCTGCTTTATCTGTCTGTTTTGCTGACCCCATTTCTCAGACCTGCAGGGGGATCCCAAGAACAAAGCCTTGATTAGCTCCAAAACAATTTCAGGAACTACTCTCGAGCCTCTAAACAACAAACTTTAAATGAGAGTGTCTACCAACATCTGGACATCATCCTCTAGTCTCTTCCAGCTGCCAGTTTTCCATGGAAAAGCCATCCATTACACAGGCTGGTTTACCCTGTAGCTGCAACAACACCAGTCTGAAAAGACCAACCTCTTGTCAGCGGAATTCTTCCCTATTACAGGAACCTGATTCTGCCTTGAGCTGGGAGAGGCAGTGACCCAGCACAAGATCCGTGTGTGCTTTATACTCTCCAGGCTAATTCCTGGCTGATCTTACTGTTTATATAATTGCATCTGAATTGCTGCTTTCTTATCACAAAGTCATCTATTGAAAATTCATACTGAACCACAAAGCAAATGTGATAGGAACAAACGTGTCCATAATATCCTAACCTGGAAACTGGAGCTGGAAATCTAATTATTTTAACAGTCATTCTCTCCTCACTGGTTAGCTTTTAAACTAACCAGTGCTTTTAAAGAGTTGTTATTATTGATTAATTTAATCACTCCATAAGACAGCAAGACCATGGCAGGAAGGCTGGCATGGATATGGAGTCTTCCAGAATCACAGATGATGAATTTTGCACCTGTGTTTTGCTAAGGTTTAATGAGGTCTGGTTGGCTCTTTTTGCTCCTTACCAGGCAGGCACAGCTGGGAGATGCTGGCACAGGTTGCCCAAAGGAGCTGTGGCTGCCCTGTCCCTGGAATTGTTCCAGGAGCAACCTTGGCTAGTGGAAGGTGTCCCTGCCCATGGCAGTGAGTGGGATGGGATGGGCTTCAAGGTTCCTTCCAACCCAAACCATTCTGGGATTCTCTAAGTCTGCGCAGTGCCTATGTAGAAACAAATCTGAAATCAAACCAATGGCTCTGCAGCCGTTGCTGTTACCTGCTCAAGAAAAACACACTCAGAAACTGTCTGGCCTGGAACCTACTCAGCCAATATGGAAGTAACAAGCAATTCACTCCATACAAATTGATAGGAAAAAACTTTTACTGAGCCAGTCCTTGCAGCACAATGAGAAGCAAAATTTTGAATCAACACCAATGAAACAGATGACCCCAAGTGGGGGGAAATACTCACTTTTGGGAGAGCAAGAGTGAGAAGGGATCAACAAAGCCACTATTCTCTGTCAGCCTCTCCTTGAGCTCCCTGCCTGCAGCTCYGGGAACACRTGCCCKCCCAGGTAATCACCTAACTCCCATTTGGAATTTGATCTGATATATCTCCTATGCAGGTCAGCCACATTCCTGATTTACATAGCCATAAGAAATATGAAAAAGTAAGTTTGAGGTGGTAAATGTGGTCACTTTGAGCTGTTGGAGGAGTGATCCAGTCAGTCCCAACTGATGTTTAGCTAATTCCTGAATAATAGTGTCTCCTTTTCCTGTGGTTTTGGATTGTGCACAGGTCTGTGTCCTGGGCTAATTTTACAAGGTTTTTTTTGATAATGTAACAGAGGTTTTGTTCTATTAAGACTAGCCAAATGTTTTCTGTTTTCATGGAATCTTTAATTCAGGGTGAATTTCTACCATATATTTTCTCAGGAATGAAATATAATTTAATYATATTTAAACCTCTTTCTGGCTTAGGGGCATGAGCAGAGTATTAATTGTACTCTCTGTAACATCTGTCCATCTCACTTAGCAACAGGAGTGTAACACYCACTTTGCTACTACTCCAGTACGTTACTTAGCTCTATATTTTTCTGACATATTTGAAATACAAAGAGTCATGTTCTCTCAGTATACACTACACAACCCACACATAGATAATGTATATGTATATATATATATATACATATACTATATGTACACATACACACTACATATACGTGTATGGGCTTGATTGTTTAAAGCTTGAATCACAGAAAAGAGTGTTTGTTCTTGGGAAGTACAAAGAGTATTTCAAAGGAAACAAAGAACCTGAAGGGAAAAGAACAAATTCATAAAACTAAAACCTGGAGAGGACAAAATGCTCTCAAAGTAAGAATTAAAAAACAGCATTCTTAAAACAAATATATCACATGTGACCCTTGTACAGCTAATTGTTTCCTCTAAAGAATTCACAGCTTTAGGCAGCTGRAGCTGGATTTTTGTGCACTGGAGACCTCCACAGTTGGATTTAAAGTGTCTCAGCACACCCTACAAGAACATAGGCAGAGAACAGGTCAGAGTGTGAGAACACACAGTCTTTGCTGCCTTAAAGTGCCAGTTTCTCTGAGTTGAGAAAAATGGGTGTAAGGAGGGGGTATTGAGATTAAAAATATAAATTGCTTTAACAAGATTTAGGAAAATGTCTGCAAACATCAGTAGCAAGTTATAACAGTGCTTGAAAGTCATAATGAAGGTGAAAAAGAGAGTGAAACAATAAGAACTAGTGCAATAAGGAAAATCAATGTAAATAACTGTTACAAGTGAGAAAATGCAGAAAACTTTTACAGGAAGCTGAAGAGTAGGAAATAAACTTTTGCCARGCCAGAGGCCAATAATAAAGTCAGGGAACATTACAAGATGAAGACAAGCTGTTGATGCAGARTTAGTGCAAAGGCTTCAGCAAGAACTTATGCATTTGAAAATACAGTGACTGAACAAACACACACAGATTTGCAACAAAAATTATTAAATAAATCATATAAGRAAAAAATATTTTAAACTCAACATGATTAGCTAGCTAATGCTCATTTCAACAAGTCTGGAATACTGAGATTTCAAAACATCTTTTAAAAGTGTTAATATTATGGCAATATTTAAGGAGAGAGTGTTGACCCAGGTAACTCCACCAGCCAGGTAAAATAACAGAAAATTGATACAGGATTTAAGTAATAAAGAATTAATGGATGAAAACATAATTACTGATGTTACATAAAATAGGTCATGCCACACAAACCCAATTTCATTGTTTGCAGTGATTACAAATTTGGTTACTAAGGCAATTGCACAGATACAAAGTCTTTAGTTCCATCTGTCCAGAGCCCCCCTGTCGGGAAGGTTTAGAGCTGTTAGGCAGAGCCCAATGTGGTGGTTGCTGAATGCTGGGAATTATCAACCCCTGGAGCAGRCAGAATAATCTCAGCAGTGCCTTTATTCACTGCAATGATTTTACCCAGCCTCTGAACACACTGCAGTGCACTACAGAAATACCTGACCAGGTATTAAGAATGAAAATTCATTTATCTGGAAGGGCARTACATTAGTCTGAGTGGAGCTTGGGACTAATGTGACTGCTGCTTATCAGTTCAGCCCCATGCTGATATGGKCACACAGCCTCTTGGCTGCTGCCTTTCCCTTGCTGGCACCATTATCCTACCCATCTAAAGAGCATCAGGGTGGTGTTCACATATCTTCAGTAATTTACATAAACTATCAAGCTGGTAAGAAACCTCCTGGGCTGTCCTTCTGGCTATRACCATGGAGCTCATTCACCACTGACCTCTCTGAACACCTGATGGGAGTGAGATCCCATGAGCTCCAGCGAGCAGCAAGAAAAAAGACAGTGACAAAATTCAGCAACACAATCTGTAAGTGCCTGAGGCTTCTTCCATACAGTTCCCTAAAATCCATCATCCATAGTCTGATGCTTATGGATCCATTTCTTTGGTTGCCCTCTTGCTGACCTGCAGAAACTCAGTGATAGAAATTTTAATGTGCTTTTATAGCYCAGCTTTGCAGCCCTGTTGTGGAACAGCCAGTTACACTGTTRATTATTTATCTTTAACCTTTCTGTTAACTACACCAATCCATTCCCTGACATCAGTGATTTTACACTTTCATTAAATGAAAGATGGTGTGCTGATATTCTACAGGAAGTGTTTCAAGTGATATCGGTAAATAAAATTTAGTCATTCTAAAATCTTGGGTTAATTCCCCAGGCGTGTCTGTCATGGGCTACCGAAATTCAGAAGTTCATATGTAACAGTAATTTAATAGGATTCTCTGTCACTGAATAACATCTAAAATAAAAGTAGGAACAATGAGAAGTTATCAGACATTATTCCCACTCACTCTGCCCCTGGTAGTGGTACAACATAATGAAAACTTTGTGATCTCATGAGCAGGTTACTCACAGAGCAGGGCCTCTCTTATTTCCATGAAATACAGAACTGTAGATAGTAAAAACATGTCCACACTTGCAAACAACTGAGAATTGGAAGGTCTGCTGATGAAAAACAGACAAAACCAATCAGATTCTGAAAGATGAGTATTCTGGTAGAGAAATTATTTCCAATCCCATCCTATTGCAGCCTTCCACTGATAAAAGGAAATAAGATCCTGATATGCTGCCATAGAAACAAGTGTTTTTGCCAGATTTTGCATTTAAACAGCCTGTGGCTGCTGAATTTTCAAAACTAATCTGCCTATTGCCAGTCTCTGTAACAGCCAGAAACACAGCYCTCCTCTCTGAAATTTATAGATTCACAGTCTCCTCTCCTCTTTCTTTCCTAGGATTAGCTGCAGCATTTCCTATCAACCACAGATTAAAACAGCAAATCTCTTTGTTGCATATCATATGCCAGCAATCTCCATTTATGGTCTGAAAATACTTCATAATCCTATTTGCTGTTTGGCTCASACGATAGAGCCCTTTGGATTTGGTTTCATTTCTTTGGAAAGTGCTAGATATTTCTGTYAGTCCGAGATACACAATCACTGTGCTGAGGGCAAAGTTAAACAAAAAATGGAACAACAAACCATCACTACCAGCAGCAGCAGCAAAGACAATCCAGAAGCCTTCTGCAATATAATCAAGGATAAATGAAGATACCCAAGTAGGTGTTTTGTAGTTTGCTTTACAGGCTGTGGCCAAAGTGGAAGGTTTTGATGACAAGAACTCATTAACTGCTGCCTGTCTGTGCACAGGTGMATGGTAAAGGATTCARGAAGCAAAATKATTTCTTTAAAGTCCAGTAGTTGATATTTATTTTTATCTTTACTCCCATGGGTAGTTCTAATGACATCTGATTATTTTTAGCATCAAAATGCCTTTTTACAAGTTTTCCAAGTCACAGAAAATAGCATAAATAACGCAACTCATCTCCTGTCAGAATATCACATTTGAATCTAAACATATTCCATAAGGAACCTCAACATGAAAAAAATAACTTGTTGAATTCACACAACTCAGTGTGGTGACAGAACATTTTCACTGCACATCTGGTCTGGTGTAAGCAGGACTTCAAAGCCAGTACAAGCATCCAAGTGGGGCACTGCTCACTGCTGAGTTACCCATGTCAAACTTGGATTTATCATCGGTGATGCGCAGTTACAACACAGAGCAGATGATCGAGAAGATCTATCAGTCTTGATAGAAACAGTAAAAGTCTTCGAAATTGAAGTGGAAGATGTTCCCCCCAGCACCAATCTTGGCAGTCTGCAGAGAAATCAGTTCAGCCAATTTCACACATACACAGAACATGGAATGGCTTGGGTTGGAAGAGACYTTGAAGCTCATACAGTTCCACCTCCTTGCCGTGGGCAGGGACACCTTYCACTATCCCAGCTTGCTCCAAGTCGGGTCCAACCTGGTTTTGGACACTTCCCRGGACGGGGCAGGATGTGTGTGCTCGGGTCGGGACTCTGCCCGGGGGCTCCCAGCAGTGTCCCCGTGTCCCTGGACGGGCTGTCCCCCCGCCCGYTCGCAGCTCAGCCCGGGGGCGGTGGTGACACCATTTACCTGACACAGCCCCGCGGCCCGAGCGCTCACCGCGGTTTGGCCGCGGGCCCTGCCGGACCTCAGGCGCGGCAGAGCAGTTTAAACAGGTTTTCTTCTTCCATGGGCCCGCASAAAAGTGGTGACACCGACACCCGGCACCGGGACTGGCAGCGGCACCAACARAGGTACCGACACCGTCACTGATACCAGCAGCGACAACCGGCACCGACACACATCGACACCACCAATTTCTTTTTATAAATTGTGCTCGGTGCTGACGCCGGCACCGACAGTGGCACCGACACTGACACCGGCACCGACAGTGGTACTGACAGTGACATCGACGCCACCACCGATACCGTCACCGACATCGGCACCGGCACCGGCACCGGCACCGACATCGACACCACCAATTTCTTTTTAGAAATCGGGCTCCATGCTGACGCCGGCACCGAGAGTGGCACCGACACTGACACGAGCACCGACACTGACACCGGCACCGACACTGACACCGGCACCGACAGTGGTACCGACGGTGACATCGCCGCCACCACCGGCACCGGCACCTCACGGCGGCCGCTGAGGGTGAGCGAAAAGGGCGGGAAGCGACGGCGCGCACCCGAGGCGGGAAATGGGCGCGCGGGCCGGCGGCGATGGCGCCGCCTAGTGGAGGTCCCACAGGTCCCGCAGCGGCGCCGCCAGGCGCGGGTGCCGCGCGCGCAGCGCCCCCGCGTGGAAGTGGCGGAGCGAGCGCAGCTCCGTGAGGCGCCCGAGCAGCCGCGCGAAGCGCTGAGGGTCCCGCGGGTGCTGCAGCTTCGAGTGCTTGTACAGGATCCCCAGCAGCGGCTCCTGCAGCTCCTCCACATGGCGCTTGTCCCTCAGCAGCGGGCGGTCTGCGGGAGAGCGGCGGAGCGGAGAGAGCGGTGGGCGGGGGGGGCTCCGGGCGCCGCGGCCCCTCAGAGTCCGATCGGCGCCGCCGCCCCTGAAGGGGTAAGTGGGAGCTCCCCCGGGGCGAGTGACAGCTCGGTGTCACCTTGCCAACCTACCTGAAAAGAACACGGTTGTAGCTACGAGCAGAGCGTATTCGGTCTCGGTCACTTTGAGTTCCCCCATGGTTCTGTAGAAGTAGAACAGCGCAGTGATGAACTCYTCGGTTATGCCTTGAAAATAGAAGAAAAACCAACATGTTTTGTTTAAGGAAAAAAAGTCAAACATGCAGGATAATGAGCATGTTATTTCAGTACAGAAATCGTTGCAAATCATCTTTGCCTGAAGGGTGGTAAGTGACCCTCACTGGATCCCCTTGGATGAGTGTCCAGTTCCGGGCTCCCCAGGACAAGGGACATGGAGCGCCTGGAGCAGGTCCAGCAGAGGCTGTGGAAGTCATGAGAGGGCTGGAGATCTCTCTGGTGAGGAAATGGTGAATGGGTGGACTCTGAGGTCTTCTCCAGGCTAAGTGATTCCACCAGTCTGTGGAAGACTGAGGGAGCCGGGGCTGTTCAGCCTCGAGAGGAGCTGCTGAGAGGGGCCCTTATCCCTGTCTGTCCCTGTCCCTGTCTGTCCCTATCCCTGTCTGTCCCTGTGTGCAGGGAGGGCTCCAAGCAGGGCCCATGGGGGCTCTGCTCTGTGGATCCCAGCAATGGCACACGAGGAACAGGCAGGAACAGATTAACAGCAAATTCCACCTGAACATGAGGGAGGATACAGAACAATTGCCCAGAGAACGTGTGCACTCCTCCTCACTGGGGATATTCCAGAACCRTCTGAACCATTCCTGTGCCATGTGCTCTGGGATGACCTTGCTGGACCAGGTGACCCATTGTGGTCCCTTCCAACCTCACCCATTCCGTGATTCTGTGATTCAGTGAATCTTTTAAAGTTTGGGGATGTTCTATCGCGCAAAACAGTTAACAAACTTTGTGAATACAATGTTAATTTCTAAAATGATGACAGAAGCTGTACTGCAGTTGTACAGTGGGGCTTTGGAGATATATATATATATATATATGGATGGATTTATATATAAAACTCAAGGCTTTATCCTAGAATATAAGCAAAAATGAACACCACTACTTCCTGCCATGAAGATGTAATGCCAGCATGTACCAGAGCAGCTCAAGGGAGAGGGAAAGGAGAAGAAAAGGGAGAGGAGAGGAAGAGAATAGGAAAGGAGCTGGAGTAGTGACCACAGGGACAGTGTTGCTCAGTGTGATTAAGAACAGGACATTGCAAAATATTTACAGGATTTGAATTCTGAGGCTTCTGTTACCTGTGGTAGTGGTRGAAGTTGGACTCTCTTCATTATGACACATTTCCATGGAATAAATGTTACTTTTATCAAGGTTTTGAATGTGACAACATGTCCCATGATCAGAAAGTCTTACATGACCTGGAACAAGGTAGATGACAGTTCCCAGTAAAGCTTAAAGTGACGTTAAATATTTCTCTGTATCATAGCTGAAAAAGTGTGAATTTTTCCTAGATACATGCAGGTATCAAATTTGTTTTTGGCATCTGGCACCAAGTTCTTTGGTTGCATTGTTGTTGATACCTTGTACTAAACTTGACAAAATGCATAATCTGTAATTAATACAGCTGATATTATCCACCCACCCCACAATGGTGTCAGTCAGTTATGTCCAACGTACTTTCACTGGTTGATGGCTGACACTCGCTCATTCTCTGGTTGTAAATTTGGGCTGATCTCAAGAACATCGCCTCCACTGTGGACCCTTTCAGMAGAGCAATCTGGTCCTCACTGGCTAAACTCTCAAACCCTGCAGAGAAAGGTGCATATTCAGAATCAAGGAAGGCTGGGCTGCCTTTAAGCCCCCAACATGAGGTGAAAAAATGATTTTTTTTTTTTAATAAATGCCTTTACTGGAAAGGAGGAGCCATAGTTAAATGATGTATGTGCCGAAAACTTGGGATCTTTCTTGTTGGTTTGCAGATTGGACAATTAAAAAAGAGCAGGGGGAAAGGGAGGAGGCAGTTTTTAGTGTTAAAAGATTCACAAGAATATACAAGTAAACATTTGGRGACTAAGCAAGATGTTATCAAAAGCTTCTTCCTAATATCTGATAAATATCATGTGGCCTAACACCTGATAAATTTGCTACATTGCTTAGTGAGTCTGGATATTCCCCTTATTCATTGTTACATAATTTTGTTTTTAGAAATTGTGTTCCTCTTTTGACAAGCTCATTGTCTACACTCATAATTCAAGAGCAAAGAAACTTAAGTGATTTTTTCTTAACTCTGATCAAAGCAGGATGTATAACACAAGAAAACAGACAGCTCACTCCTTCCTTCAGCTATGTCCCATAGTGGTGCTAAATCATATCAAATACCTGGTGACTGACCTTTGTCAGTGAGTTTTACAAAGAAAAAATTATCACCTTCCCTTGTCAAATGTTAYTTTGTCAACTTTACACTGAAATGCAGTGAGTTTAATTGCATGTTCCCTTGTTCTTTATGAAAGGAAAATATGAATAAGAACACCTGGTTAGTCCCTTCTGGGCTGCCTTTTCCTTTGAAGGAACATCTGCTTTTTTCTTTGATTGTTATAATAAATTGCAAACTCAACTGGACTTCAGARAATGTGATGGAATAATAATTCCCTCAAGGCAGTATTTTGACGTCCACGTCCTTGTAGAAAATGTCTACTCCATGTCAGAAATGGAGAAGAAATCTAATCATAGCAAGGTTTTGAAGTGAAAAGTTTTGAAATGAAARCTTTTAGGTTGTCCTCATGACAAGTAAATGGCAAGCTAGAAGTAAAAATAATCAGTTGAAAGCCTTTTCTGAAAACCTGTATTTTCCTYGGGTTCATGCCACCAGTATGGTTTGGTTCCTCTAATATTCCCCAAAGGAAGAAACTCACCTGGAAGTCTTTTTGTGAAATCCACTAACACTTGGACRTGCACAACAGCTGTCTCAGAGAGACGGAGAAAACTCTCCTCAGGACTTGCAGTTTCTTGTAGCTGCATGAGAGAGYGTTTGGACATTGGATATAGCCAATAATAGAGAAGAATAGTAACTTAGCAATGGATGCTGGGTGTGCTGGATACCTACAAACTTCTTGGCTTCCTCAAGGGGAATTGTGTATTTTTGRTGTGCTGCTACAATGTGGTCAAGGAGCTGATGTTCCCCTGGAGTGAGTTCCATCTTCTCTGGGATCTGTTAAAAAAAATAAACCAATCAAGTGACAATGACATGGGGTAAGAATAAATGTTAAAAAGAGATATTTTAAATAGAAAAATATCCCACTTTTCCAGATCTTGTTGTAGATGATACTTGCTTACTATTCAGTCCCTCATCTTCCAGCTTTATGTTACAAAGGAAACTGCTCTTCTCCTTGAAATTCTTCCTGAGTCGCTTCGACTTGCACTGGACTTCAGTCAGCAAACCTGYGAGGTGTGGAAGCGGCCATCAATGTGTGTGTTTTCAATTAATTGCAGTTTGAAATCATCGCTTTTATTAGAGATAACTCCAGTGTTGCATCACATAAGCTGTCACCTATAAGGAATTACATTTCCTAGAGAATGTGGCCATGTGTGACTTATCAGGTGAGCTGGTGTTCAGTAGCCACCAAAGGCCTGAGGGTCTGCAGTCATCTTYGTACTTGTGGCTCTGTGACACAGGATTTTTCAACAAAGACCTCATGACAATTTTATTTATTTTTTTCCCCAAATTCTAAAGCTCTTCTGCTCGCTCACTGCTGTCCTGACAAGGCTCAGGATATTTAGGTTCCCTTGTTAGTAATTTCTTTTTTTTCTTGTAATACCTTTGAACAACAATTATCTTAAGGTGAGGAGAGACTTCTCAAACATTGCTGGCTTTTGCACATGAAGATGCTTCAGATGCTACAATCTCCAAAGTTAATTTTCCTACAGCCAAATGAAGTTTAGATCAGGATCACAGGAAGGGATTGACTTTTGAAAAGGTTTTATCAGAGTTGATTAGTAAAGAATCCAGCATGAAGGAGCACTTACATTCTGCCAGCATTCCCACAGCTTTGCACTTCTTGAGGCGACACTCCTGGCACTTCCTCCTCATGTACATGTCCATCTCACAGTGCCCCCCGCTCTTGCAGCGGTACACGGCGTTCTTGGTGATGCTGCGCCGGAAAAACCCTGGGAACAAGGACCAGGTTATGGCTGAAGGGATCTGAGGAGCTTTAGCTCAGAATTATTTGAAACTGTCTTTCGGGTTTATTTGGTGGGGTTTTGTAAATGGAAACCCAGCACCCTCTGGAAAGGTTCTTCCCCTGAGATCCCTCTCAACCCTCCCCTAACATGGCTCCAGCCCTTCTCTTGGGTCCTGTCCYTGATCCCAGAGAGCAGAGATTGGTGCCTGTCCCTCATGAGACAGTTCCCATATAAACAAGTTAAAATATAATTAGCAAGTAATTGCTACTTGTTTTTATTCAATTTCAATAGTAAGTAAAATTGATTACACTGAAGTAAATCTCTAATAAATGTTCATGAGAAAACCAGCACCTGCTTACACTGACACTATTCCAGCGAGTCATCGATGCAGGTGTTGGAAGTGCTCATCTTAAATATAGACTGTGAAATAATTTCTTTAAAAAAACAGTATACAAATGTGACTCTGGAGTAAAGGTGTTAGATAAGGAAAAAATTAAAAGCCTCTGTGCAAAAACCAGCTCAAAACCYAAATCTGTTGGCCCCAGTCCCAGCTGTGGAGGGTTGTGCTGAGGCCCTGCTCCGTGCTCACCTTTGCAGCCCTCGCAGGTCAGYGCGTTGTAGTGGTACCCCGAGGCTTTGTCCCCACACACCACACACAGCTCCTCCTGCCCCTTCAGCCTCACCGAGTGGTTCAACCTGGGCCTCTTTAACCCCTGGTACCCCCCATCCTCCACGTGGGGAGCCAGGAAGGGGCCCTTGCTGAGCTCGCAGCTGCTGCCGACGCAGGGCCCGTCGCTGTACGGGGGCTCCAGGCTGTAGGAACCGTACGGGGACGGAGCAGGCTGGGACTGCAGAGMTGGAACTGGGACTGCTGAGTACTGGCAGTAAGGGGCAGCCTGGAAATCTGGGTCCTGCAGCTGGTAGTTGATGTGCTCTGGTAAAACATCTGAGATGGGGGAAATAAAAAGGGGAATAAAAGCCTGGAGAACAACTTGATGACAACCGCTCCAAAYATTAAAAATATTTTATAGAACTAGTAACATAAATATTAGAGGCACACGTTTTCAGAGGGGCAGTCTGACACATTCTATTTAAATGTTATACCTATAATGTTCTTAAGTAAAATCTTAAATGTAGCAAAAATGGCTCAGTAATGGTTTGAGCAATGTCATGTGGGCACYGCTGGATTAGTGTTAGTATAGATAATTGAGTATCACTTGCCAGCTGATGGTACAGCAGCCTTTAAATCTTTCCCTTAAATGTTGTTTTTACTAGTTCTCCCCACTACAGTCAAATATCTTCCCTAAGTTAATTCTTAATGAATTAAGCATTTGTTACTTGATTAAGCATTTGTTATTTGATACATAACTCAGACATCATTTTGAAAATGCTGCACTGAGAAAAATTGTATAGAAATTATAGAGTGGTAAATATAACTGTAACAGGAGTCTTAAAGTTGAACATCAAAAGAGTAAAAAGCAGAGACTTGTTTTATTAAGTATTTTCCCACACATGTATCTTTATGRAATTTTAGTTTACTAAAATGTAGGTACAGATTAACAAAGAGAGTCTYTTCCTGTCTTTCTGTCTGTTGAGTTTTAATTGTATCCAGCCTCCCTTAAATGCACACAGCTATACCAAAGAAAGYCTGTGCAATGTGCATCATGTTTCATTCTTCCTTTGGGATTATTAAAATCTCTATAAAAACAGATTGGAAAGATTTTTTAAAACAGTTTGGAGATTTTTTCCTTTTAGTGGGCTTTGAGTCCTCCTTTAGTCTTCCAGAATCAAATTAGTTATTTCAATTATAGTTACCTAAGATATAGAATAGGCATTAGTTATTTATAATGTATCTGGAATATTGTAATAAAACTTTCTCCATGCAACTCAAAGGGAGACGGCACTGGGAATGTTTMTGTGGAATGCTCAGTCAGAATAATCACATTGTGCACACACGAAAAGATTTTAATACACTTTCAGTGCAAGCTTGGTAAAAAGTTTCAAGTGCTTTAAAGATAAAATAAAATTAAGGAAAAAATATAAATTCCCACTGGTGTTCCTTTCCCCACATTTCCAGAGTAAAAAACTTGCTTTACTCACCGTAGTACTGGATGGGCTCGGGAAGGCCGTACCCRTCGGGGACGGTGACAAACGTGTTGGCCATGTTCTGCTCCCAGCTGCACTGCTTCATCCACTCTGCTGGGGGATCAGCCTTTAAACAGCAACCTGGACAAAGGGGAAAGGAAGAGAAACATCCCATGGGAAAGAATTGCTGGGAAGGTTTAGAGACAGAGCTAAAACCAGAAAACTCCAGAATATGGGACGGTTTTTGGACAATAAGAAAATCAGATGTCTCTGCAAATGTCTTACWTAGTGCCTTCTGTGAGGTTACAAAATATTTGAGTGTCCTAATATTACAGRTTCAGGGTGAAATCCTTTCCTAACTTTCCAAGTTATAGTTAGAAATGCTTTGCTTTGAGTTTTATGCAAAACCTTACGGGAGAATCGGCCTAATCATGGTAAATTCTCTAGTACAGGAAGATTAAAAGGAGCTTTGCAGCATAGAAGAAACTTGTTTTGGGCATGAGTTAGAGAGTTTGCTCTGGTGTGGATGTGGGGCTGTCCTGTTTGTAGACAAAGATGGGCTTTCAATGAGTTTATTTTATTTTCTTTATATGCAGATTTGAAGAAAAATAACATCAAAAGCCCATGGAATATCTGTTCTTCCCCATGTAAGTACTTATTTATGCAGTAAAAATCAGCTTTGCGTTGCTTAAGCACTGCCTGAATCACATTTAAGAGCCTGTGTTCCTTTAGCAGTGTAAAGTATACRATGAAGACCTAAATATTGATTTCCTATAAGATGTGTTGCCTCTAAAGAGCTTTCCACTGTCCCTTGGCTATTGAAGGGRCCCGGGCTCCTGTCTGGATTCACTGACATTCCCAATAAAAATATGACAGAGTGAAATTCAAAACTTACCTCATTTTATCATAATTTGAATTATAATTTCAAATCTAGAGGGAGGTTCTGAAAGTGTGCTCTAAAAACTCTTAAAAAGTTTTAGGAAAAAAGAAATCTGTGGCATGGATTTGGGTTTATTTACATGCTGCAAACTTCTGGTATTGCTGAGAATTGAGAGTAACAGAGTAGCCATTAGAARAGTAAGTGGGAATATCTTCCTTTCCCCCTTGTCCCTCTCTCTGCATGTCTGGGATGTGGCACAGGTTAAACCTTTGCTGAGCCTGATGCCCACTGAGCAAGGGCTGTAAGAGACAATTTGCCCATGAACAACTCACAGGCTTTCCCTGAGCAGACAAAGGAKAGAAAAGATGGAAAAGGCATGGAAGTATTTGGAAAATACAGCAAATCCAACTCCTACTCTACAACAGGATTCTCTGCAGAATTTCCAACAAGCTGGGTTTAAATATCCTCCCTGAAGGGCTCACGTGATGGGTTTGTGCTATACCTGCACCTTACTGGGACAATGAGTGGACCATTCCAGGGAATCTGAAGTCCTAATTGGAAAAAACACACATCCCTTCCCCCAAACTGGACAGAGCTTTGGGGCTGACCACTTTCGCTTCGTGTTGTCAGCAGAAGGTGAAAGGATGCAGTGAGGCTGGAATGCTGGGGRTTTGTTATCTCTGCTAGTAAATATTTGTTGGAGAGCAAAATGAGTCACTGAATCATGAGGTCTTATCAGTTAGATCAATTTGGCCTGGACAAAGTCTACATTTTTTCCCAAAAATGTGTGTTTGCTGAAGAAATGTGTTTCTGAATTCCAGTGGTTTCTTTAAATGAAAGTCATAATTGAATAGTAGATTAAAAAAAAAAAATACACTGATCCAGATTAATAAAATCAGTGAGTATAAAGTACCAGATGTAASGTGGCTGATTGCTTAAATGTTAAAAATATTTGAAGCAGATTTTCCTTAGGCAGTTTCCTCGCTGTAGGTGTTGTATGAGAAAGAATTTAGCCCTTCTTACTGATTTTTATGGCCAAAAACAGTGACCAGTTGCAACCACAAAATTTCCAGCTTGGACTGAGACTTTGCAAAACTTAAATTAAGAGGATGTTAGAACARTAGTAAATCCATTGATTATTTGAGGAATGCCCTACTGTCTTAGAATGAGACTTATGCGTGAACATTAAGAGTTTCATTTTCTGACATTCGAGAATTTAGTGTTGACAAGATAATTCTTCTGAGAAAACAAAACATCGAGCTTTGTTAAGCAAAAAAGCAAAAAAGAAAAGGAAAGAACAGAATAAGAGATTAAGATATATGAGGAAGTAACTTCATTTCCTAGGCCRGGCAAGTTTTGATTATTTATGAGCKACGGTGAGAGTCGTGTGTTCCAAGCTTTGCTTCACCCTGGTGAGTGAGGCAGCAGCAGGGAGGCCTCCTYCAAACTGCAGCAATCCCTGGGATTCCTTGATCCTTGTGCTGCTCTCCCCAAGGCTCTGTAGCCATCCCAAACCCCTCACACCTGCTGGGACTGAGCCATGACCTGTGGGACATTCCCACCCCATACAGATGCTCTTTAACCCTTTGCCAGGCAGGGAATTCTGCACGTGAAGCTGCTGGCAGAACACACCAGACATTCCCAGGTGTAATGTCCAAAACAACAACTGGGACAAAGTTGAAATAAGAGTGGAGCAACAGGTTCAGATGTTTGGGGCAGCTGCAGCTGTGCCGTTCCCAAAACAAAATGTTTTGTGCCCATTTATCTCTTTTCCATGTATTCCCAATATAACCACACATTTGTGCATGAGTGCTTTAAAAGAAAGCAAAAAATTAAATACATTCCCAGAGATGATGCATGAAGGTCTTTAGACCAAAAAGTGGGAATAACTGAGTACAAAAGATGATTTTTTTAATTACTTATTTTGTAGAATCCCAAACAGCAACACACATAGGGCGGGAGTCTTCAGTCCTCTGTCAGGCTGAACTAACAGAAAATGCCATCTGCSTAAAGYACACRYTGTTCCTGCTTTTCCTTCTTTTACTGGGCATTTGSACAWGTGAAATCCTGACCAGGTGGGGCAATGGTGTTCTCTGGAAGGGATGACCTACACCCAAATGGTTTAAGCATGTTTGAAAATGTTGGGCTTTTACAGGCTTGGTTTTGTCAGTTCTCATCTTCTGAATTACAAACATTCACTATAAATCAGAATTTGATGATTCAAGGGGTTGATTATCATCTAATGCAGAAATTTAGTTCTTAGTCCCAACTGAAAAATTTRACAATTTATCAAAAATGGAATCCCCTAAGGAAGAAAAAAAAAGCCATTGATTGATAAAAGTGAAGTAGAACCMTAAATARAATRTACCCATTCAGACTAGAATCTGAAYTGTACATCTATTTATTGCTATTTATGTTGAAAAATGTGGGGTTTATCATTTTTATTGCTATAAAACCCCATATCRTAAAACAACATATCATCAACTTATCAAATTTATTGAGATACAAAACATCCTTCATGGGGCAGAGGCACAGGGAGCCCTTTCAGAGGTCGGTACTGACAGTGCTTTAGCTGCTATCRTAAATATTTTGACAATTGAGTCATGGGGAAATTTCTTGTTTACAGGSAATTTTAGGAACTCAAGCTGAAGGTCTTCACCGTCTATGTAGCACACCTTGGGGCACATTAGTGGTCACGTAGTGGAACTCAGAGCACGTTTCAGGCTCGAGTTTAATTGCTGTACTTTGCTTGCTGCTAGAAGGCAAAGCTTATTTTTTTTAATTTGGGAAAATTTGAACCAAAAACTGAAAAAAAAAAAAGTACCTGAGCATAATCAGCGCCAAATAGGTGCGATACCAGCTGATCTATTCAATTTCACTCAAGCAATTCAGTAATCACTGCTTAATTAAAGAATGATTTTGAAGGGGAAATCATAGGATCACTTGATTGATCCTGTATGCAGCTTATKTGCATTATTAAGGGTTTTTCAGTTCCTCCTGGTTTTAATGTGCCAAGAAGCTTCCCAAAGCTGCTCTTTGAAGAAATTCCACTTTTCTTCTTAATAAATGTGTTCCTTTCTGGTCATATAATAACCATAATATCAGCTGACTTATTTAACCAGTAGACTGTGCTGTAATTATCTTGAAATTTTCCTTTGGAATTGTTACTCCATGAATAATTATTTCAAAGGCATAATTTTTATRCATTGTAAAATTAGAGGTTGGAGGTTGTTTGAAACTCACAGTTTTCCAGGTACTTTTGGGAAGGGAAGCAAATAATAGAATTGAAAAGTTGTTTTCCTTCACTCTGTGTGTCAAATGAAGTACTGTTGGAACAAATCCTTGGCAGTAGAATACTAAATTGAAAAGTGCCTGTTTTCTGTTTYCATTTAGTCAGATGTTTAAAAATACATAAAAAAGGAGGTAAAGAAGCAAAAAGCCCAGTGAATATTTCACATAGCAAATTGATGTATGGCTTGAGCACCGATTTATAATCGCAGAGCATGCAGAGAAGGAAATGAAATACTCACGGTGGCTGCAGGGAGCTGCTCTGTCCCGGCGCAGAGTCCGTGGGGCTGCAGCGCTGATGCAGCTCTGCTCCAGCTGGAGCAAGCAGGCCTTTCCCTATTTATCAGTTTGTGTGCACAGCCCCGGCTCCAGACACTCGGCAGAGCAACACTACGGCTCCGAGACACGAACTTCCCACACAGCTCCTCTGGGGTCGGAGCAAGGGCAGCTGCGAGCCCACATAAATCAAATCACAACTGGGTCATCAGGGACAGAGGCCATGGGGACCCTCACGTCACTGCTTCCCAGAGTCCTCCCTGGCMCAGGACAAATATTCTGCTTTCTTGCTACAATTCAAATTCTCCCATTTGGATGGCTTCACGTAGACATTGTCAGGGTGGTGGTGGAAAATGTTCCATTCCCAAGCAGGGAAAATATTGCAGTGGTATTATTTGGAGGTTTTTACATGAAATAATAATTTAATTTGGAAAGGCTGGATTAGGCCAGGACCTCCAAACACCAAACATTTACCTTGTGCCCCCTGTTCTGATCCAGACATTCCTTGCTGATGCAGCACACACCAGGCTCACATTAAGTCCATTGGCAACTTCAGTGAACTTCAGTTCATATTCTTGTTAATTCAGCAAAATTTCATTCTTAAAACCCCAAGTATTTCCATTCTTGACATCCTCTAACAAATTAATATTTCAGTTTGATGTTTTCATTATTTCCTAGGTAGGAGATGTGACCTATTGGATAGGGAATTTTCCTGTTAGGTATCATGCTGTTCCAGTGCTCCCAGCAGGTTGCAGATCTCCTCACTCCAGGAGGAACTCACCTGCCTTGTGTGTAAGAACAGCTCTCCATTCACCTCAGGAAAAACTGGTTCTGTTGGATACTGCCTGGAATTAAATGGCAAAAGAAAAAAATCAAAATTCCTGTTGGACATCTTACAGAGAAGTCACTTAAAATAACCTTTGGGACAGAAGGTTTTCATGGACACACAGCAAACTGACATCACCCTTCAACGGAGGGACACACTGATATTCCATGGGCTCCAGAGAAGAGCAGCCCTAAGGCTGCTTATTCCCATGGGCCATGGCACCTTTTAGGAATCTGTCCATGGCTGAGTCTTTGAAGAGCAAACAGCACTGACTGACAGATGGTACTTTAGCTTATTATGGGKTTTTTTACGTTTTCAGATGTCCTGCATTGATTGTGTGTGGTGATCACTGGAAYGCAGAGATAATGCAGTAGAGACAAAGACAATGATCTTGTAAGCTGAGTTATGGTCAGCACTTGCTTTTCTGGTAAAAGCAGTCTCATACAGAAACTTGTGAAGTTGTCAAAAAACTTTTATAGTAAAACGGAAGGGTTTACAATTGATAAAACAAATATTTTTTCACAGTAGTAACTCTTTCACAATATCCCCTTACTTTTTAATCTATCCTTTCTCATGAAAGTTGGAAAAACAAGCAGAAGTTTGTGAAATATTGTGGTTARCTTTCAAATGCTACTGACTTTTATTTTTAGCATTTTTTCTGATAGAAGCCACCTTACTGATAAGCTGTTCAAATCATCTRTGGGACATGGGTATTTAGAGCTTGTTTATTCCAGGGAATTTATGCATGAAGCCCAGGTTTTTTAAAGGTATCAAATGCCCATTCTGCTCAGTTTATAAAGCCTTGTGAATTCAGGGTAAATTCAGTATCTAAAATCAGTATATAAATAAGTATATAAAACTTAGTTGTAGTAGAAATGAACTGCAATAATTAAGTGTTAGCCCATGGTTAATTACTCTAACTCTCATGCTGCAGTAATAAAGCTGTTTTGCATAATCATGCAGTGATTCATACCAGATGACTGGCTAAATACATATATTTATGTAAATACAGATATTTACATTATTTTAACAAATCACTGCTTCTATTCAAATTAGGAATTTTGCTCCTATTCAAAGCTTAGCATGAAAAAAATGGGAGACTTGAGGGCATGCTTGAGTCACCTAAAATACTGTTGCACAAAAGAGGAAAATAAACTCTTTTCCATGCTTGTAAATAATCAAAAMCCAGAAAGGTTATTTAGGAGTAAGGGAGATTTAAATTACAAACTAGAGAAAGCAATTACTGTGGTAAAAATAGCCCTGGAGTGAGTTCCTTGTACAATCTTCTCCACTGGCTGTTTTGAAGATCAGCCTGGGCAAGCAGATAGAACTTAGGAATTGTTTTCTCTGAGTTATTTTGGTTTGTAAACGAGGACTTTTTGTAAAATACTTTTAAGCTCTCTTCCAGCTCTGTTCTCTGCTATTTTTCTACACAAACATCAATTTTGTCAAGCACTGATGAAGTCTCTRAGCAGTAACATGCCCAGAGCCACTTGAGTGACAAAGGAAATAATCCCAGGCTCCAAGGTTGCTTTACCAGTGGTAAGTAAACAAAGTGTCACTCACAGATAYGGCCTGAAAATAGGAGCTGAATGAGTTCATGCCATGAGCCAACATCCAGAAGTGGCACTGAAGTGGGGAATAAGGGACACACKTGTTTTCAATAGAAAACCAGCAGAGCTGGTGACAGCAGCCTGACCTGGACACTGCTGCAGCTCTGCCACCAGGGCAAACTGGAGCTCTGGGCAGTCACAGCTCCGTGGAGATTGGGCAGCTGGCTCCAAGGCTTTGATGGGTGAGGGAGCTGGAGATGAAGGAAGAGCTTCCCTGGATCTGTACCTGCTGGGAGAATCCATTTTCAAGCTCAGCACAATTTTTTGTCCATCTGGACTGGAGATTTCAGATCTTTGGGACTGGTTTGGTACCCGAACAGTTAAAGGAAATTGTATGTACTCCAGCTGGATCTTCTCTGCATAAATGACCCGTTTGGCTTGATCTGGTATTGGATTGTTTACGTAACTTCAGTAATTAACCACTATCAGCCTCATTAATGAAACATAAACCACCTCTTCTGCTCATTTATAAAGCATTTGTCAAACAAAACTCAAACAAAGGGCAGAATCTCAGCAAAGTAACGGCCCTCCAAGAGCTACTGAGCCCTGACTGCAAGGCACAGCAGTCACTGTGTTGTTGTTTTTCARTAGAACTGAAACAGAAGCGATGGCATTGTCTATTGCTCTTGGCTAACTTTTCCCCAAGCCATCTGAGATCTGTCACATGAGGGCAAGGATGCCTGGACAACTATTTTGGCCATTTCAGTRCAAAATACTGATGTTCCAGCTCATTACTGTAAATCATTAAATGATGAAAGCAAGAGTCAAATATTAAACGATTGGAAGCCCTCAGAAAACTAATTGCTAATTACAGTAATTGTTGTTCTATGTGACTTAAAGGTTATATTGAAATATAGWTTATTTCATTACAGGATTAAATCTCTCCTGTTGGTAAACCATTCTGAGCAATATAAAAGAAAGCTGAGTATCAACAATAGAGATCATGTATTATGCTCYAACTTAATCTTCACCTATTTTTGTGCCAGAGGAAAAAAATTGTTTAGAGGCATAAAATGCACTGATAGRCACATCCATGCCAAACATTTTGCTTTCTGAGAACACGGATTTCCAATTTGTTAAGGAACTCTTGAAAAAACTGCAAGTTTTCTGTTCCCCCTCTCTTCTGGAATTTTTATGAATCTTCCAAAAGTGCATCAGTGCTGGCATTGTCAGGATGTTCTGCATGGGCATGGATGGACCTCAATCCTGGGTGAGAACCAGCACAAARCCTCATTTTGCCTGTTGTGTTACCCTGCACAGTGAACAGCTCCCACTTAACACTGCAGAGAAGTGTTCATTASTGTGAGATAATAGAAATATTCTTTGTTTTGCATCAAATGTTTCMGACAAATCCTCATGGTCAAATCGGACGAGAAATAACTCGGAAGATGGAAGTTCTTGGTAAGTTCTTAAATGCTTTCATGTGTTTAAATGATGACATATCAGACCAGAGAGGAAAAACAATTTTGATCTTTGTAAGACTGACTTTTTTAATCATGAAGTTGTTGGATAGTTTCACATTCTGTTTTCTTACAAGCTTGTAAGGCTAATCTTGAAGAACCCTTGRTTTATGTCGGATTTCAATGCAAGAACCAAACTGCTTTAAACTCTCCTGAAAATCTCAGAACAGCTCACGAAGTGTTGCTGTTTTTTTCTGTTCATTCTCTTAAGCTTCATCTRCAGTGCCTGAAGGCAGAGTAGGTACAATAAGCCCATCCATTCAACACTCACGAAGTTCCTGGGTACCCTGACACCTCCTCCTTTCAGTACCCCCTGCCAAATCTGTTTCCCCTTGGCTGGAAGAACAAGACTTGTTGATAAAGAGCTCCAGCAAGGCACAATGTGGAAGAAAGCAAACCTATCAATTAAGCTTGATTATAATCTCAAGAGTTGATAATTCACAGAGAATACTTATAAGCACTGGAGTGACTGTGATTTGTAGGTACAGCAAAGGGAAGCCAAGTCCTGGACCTGATTTCCATAAAGCAGAAGATCTTGTCACTCTGTATTAAGCATTACAAAATAATTACTGTGGAATCCCTTGCTCAGCATTTTATCAGCAGTGGTCTTGCTGCTGAGAAACYGAACTAACTGGATGTATCCATTTATCAATGATAATGCTTTTCCTTTTTTCCAGCCTGGATTCCATCTTGAGGACATTTGTTTTAATTGCAGAAGGAATATTAGACTCATAAATGTGAGTGCAGTTGGTAACTCCTCAAGATTTATCAAAGCAGGATAATTGGGATGAATAAGACTGAGTTTCTTGGTAATATCTTTTGTCACAGGACAACTCTGCTTTATGCCACGTTAATCTACCTTGAAGTATGGGCTGGGAAGTGCAAGAGGAGGACTCAGCTGGGCTCTTGGTCCGTGAGTCTCTGTGCTACGTTTTTGTTGAGGGCAATATTAGGGAAATTGTGGAAATAGCTGGTGGTTGTGTTAACACCATTATTTGATTTAAAAGCAGTCAGAAAATGTGTGGTGTGAGAGTGGGTTGGTTTGCTTTCTGAACAGCTGTAGCTGCTGAAATAGTTGGRTCTTGAAGGAAGGACTTGTCATGGAAATGAGAAATGTCACATTCCACTTTTAAAAAGCTGGCACCTGCTGCATCACTGTGGGAGACTTGTGCTTTCAGAGGCTTAGCCACAATGTTTCTAACTGTGCTAAACACACTTACAATTGACATGATTTTACTGAAACCCCAAGAAGTATCMTAGCAATCTGCCCTTTGTTCCTTTCCCTACTTCCAACATCTAGATGTCACTCAGTCTATCACAGAGGTTGCCATTTGATATTGGTCTGTTCATA